TGACGTCAAGCGTGATGTGCTTGTGTGGCAGCTTGTTTGACAGTGACATGGCCAACTTGGTTCGATTTATAGCAATAATTCCTAAGGCTCAGTACTTCGCGTACCAGTTCGTTCCTTTTTGGAGTCTTTTGGAATTTTATCTGCCAGTTGAACCAAAACCTCCCTTAGCACGAACACGTGCTGCATTGCGACGTGCTTGTTTATAAGCCTCCTTTTCTTCTTTATTGAAGAGATACCTCTCGAGAGGCACGGGTAATAGTATGCGCTCACAAATAAGTTGAGCAATTCAGTCGAAAATTTCGACCGTATAGGGGAGATCGGTCGCGTTAGAGAGTAGTACTTTGACTTCTCCGCGGTAATCACGATCTATTACCCTGGCTTGGGCATCTATTCCCTTAAGTGCCATACTGCTTCTTGAAGCAATCCGAGAGTATGTTCCTGGTGGAGGTTTAATCTTGAGTCCAGTGGACACTAGTGCACGCGAATGTGGTGGTATAGTTACGCGATCGGCGGCATATAAGTCAAGGCCAGCTGACTCAGTAGTAGCGCATAATGGTAGTTGGGCTTCTTCTGTTAGTCGCTGTGTCAATAAATATCCGTTTCCAGATGTGACTGCATCATGAAGTTCTCGTTCTCTGGGACTCATGTCGTCAACATTATCTGGGCTGTCCTGAATTTCCTGACTCCAGTCTTTGGTAGGATCTGGCGGCATTGTTATCGCCATAATTGGAGCTGTTGGATGTTCTTCGTGGAATTCTTTAATTAATTCCATGGCATTACCCAGATTTGTGACTGGTTCCCATAAGTTTTCTTCATGTCCATATCCTTCCCATTTGACAAGGTATTGCAATTTTTTGTGCATAATCCTTGAATCGAGTATCTGTTCAACTTCGTATTCGAGTTCTTTACCGACGGATATGGGCGCTGGTTGCACGTGTCACCGCTTGGATATAGTATCCTCCACAAAGGGCACCAATTGGCTAGCATGAAACACTGGGTGAACAGAAATGTTTTTTGGTAAGTCCAGCCTGAAGGTGACGGGACCTAACTGTTCCTTAATTGTATAAGGACCAGCACGACAGGGGTTGAGTTTCCTTTCAGTCGTTTGCCAATTGCGGGTGTCTATCATGACATGATCTCCTGGTTTAAAGGGGACCTTGGCAATATGCTGGTTGTAGTACCATTTCATTCGTTCTGCCGCTAGGGTGAGTGCTGCCTTGGCCTGCTCTTGTGCTTCTTTTTGTGCATTCTCATAATCGCTGATTTTCGGATGTGACCCTGATTTGGTCACAGATGGTCCAGCCCTAGGATGACATCCATATTCGATAAAGAAAGGTGAACTTTTTGTACTTTCATGCGCTTGGTTATTATATGCAAATTTTGTGACTGGTAAAAACTTCGACCAGTCGTTCGAATGATAGTTGCAATAACAGCGCAGGTACTGCTCCAGGGATTGGTTGACCCTCTCAGTTTGTCCATCCGTTTGCGGATGGTAGGCCGTTGACATGGATGATTTGATGCTCAACAACTCACACCATTCTTGGAATAGTTTGCTAGCGAATTGCGGCCCTCGGTCACTAATGATTTGGCTAGGAAGACCATGTTGGGTCCACACACGTTCATACATGAGGCGTGCTAAGTCCTTTGCTGAGAATTCATTGGTGATTGGGTAAAAGTGAGCACACTTGCTAAATCTATCCACCACAATGCAGATTGCATTATGTTTGTCCGACTTTGGCAACTGAGTGATGAGGTCTACCGTTATAATGTCCCATGGATGTTCTGGTACATCATTGGGTTGTAACGAACTATATGGCGGCTTGTTGATATTTTTGTTTCTTTGGCAAGTTTTGCATGCCAAAACATATCTTTTGACATAATATGTCATTTGAGGCCACCAATAGTTCCGGGATAGGTACTCGTATGTCTTCCACCTGCCGGGGTGTCCAGCTGATGGTAAGTCATGATGAATCTTGAGTACCTCGTGTCTTAGAGATTCCTCCTTGTCCATCTTAGATACATAGACTTTTCCTCGATAAAGCAATAGGCCATCTTCGAAGTTCCAGTCTTCGAGTCCTTTTGAGAACTCCCTTTCTCCTTTCTTGAGTAGTTCCTTGTAACCCTTGGTCACATCGTCATCTTTTAGCGCTTCTTTGATCCTGGTAAGGAGTCTGTCATCATCTATCGGAGCCTCATGCGAGGGTTGCATTGCTCGTATGGCAAAATATTCGGGCTTTAGCATGGTTTTTGAGCAGTTGTCGTGCTCTACCCCCTCTTCATGATCTGATCTCATGGACAGAGGATCTGCGTGCAGCATGGTTGTTCCAGGTTGATGCTGCAGATTAATGTTGAAATGGGTCAGATATAACGACCATCTTGCTTGCTGGCGAGTTAACTTTTGAGCTGATTTGAAATATGTCAGATTTTGGTGATCTGACACAATCTGGATCACTTCTGGGTGTCCCTCCAAGTAATGTCTCCATTCTTCGAGTGCTCGAATGATTGCAAGCATTTCCTTGTCGTAAATTTCATAATTACGTTCATGCTCATTTAGAGACTTGGAGTAATAGGTGACGGGGTGATATAGGCCATCGTCGGACAGTTGTTCCAGAACAGCACCAGTGGCGAAATTGGACGAATCCGTTTCTAACCTAAAGGGCTTGTTATCCTCAGAGATCTTAAGAATTGGAGCCATTGTGAAGGCTTCCTTGAGTGATTCGTAGGCATGTTGCACTGCGTCACTCCAGATCCATTCCTGAGATTTCTTGGTCAGCGTGTTAAGCGGTTTGGCTATTTTTGCAAAGTCTTTTATAAAGCGCCTGTAAAAGTTAGCGAAGCCTAAGAATGCCTGTACTTGTTTGACTTTTGTCAGTACTGGCCATTCCAATACGGCTTTGACTTTGGATTGGTCCATCGAGACAGAGCCTTTAGAAATAATCATTCTGAGATATTCAATAGACGATTGTTCGAAAAAGCACTTTTCTGGCTTAGCAAACAAATCATTATCCCGGAGACGCTTAAGCACTTCCTTTGTGATTTTGCGATGAGTTGATATATCATCAGTAAAGATGAGTATATCATTGAGATAGACCACAACGTGGCCTTCTAGGATCAAATCCTTTAAGATCTCATTCATCATCGCTTGGAACGTAGCTGGTGCATTACAGAACCCAAAGAACATAACTTTTGCCTCAAACAGACCACGATGTGTGGTGAAGGCAGTTTTCCATTTGTCTCTCTCTTTGATGCGGACATTATTATATCTCCATTGAAGATCCAATTTGGTAAATATGGAGGCCTTTGATAGTTCATCAATAAGGTCAGAGATTCGAGGAATAGGAAACCGGTTCTTTGTGGTGATTTCGTTGAGTTGACGATAATCTTGCACCAGTTGTAGAGTTCCATCCTTCTTTTTAACGAAGAATACCGAAGCGGCTACTGGGCTCTTTGATTTCCTGATGTAATCTTTTGCCAGTTGCTTATCGATCCATGTATCGAGTGAGTTTCGCTCGGCGGGGCTCATAAAATACCCCTTTGCAGGTCTTGGAAGAAATGCACCTTTTTTGAATTCGATTGAATGGTCATAGACTTTATGTGTGGGCATTCGCTCACTAGCCTTTTTTGAGAAAACATCTCCATATGCGTGCAAATGCTTTAGGACATGTTTTGACCAATTTTTGTAATCCGTGGTTTCTCTGTCCTCTTCATCTGTCCATTTCCCCATGTCTGTAATTGCCATTACTAAACGGGCTATTTCTTAGCTTCTGGATCTCCTAGTTCGACCCAGTTGATGAATGTGTTCTCATCCCCTCCTCCTTCCATTGCTTGGGGTGGAACTGGCTGTTCATCGCAACCTTCATCATCAAGAAGTTCCTCTGTCTCTTCTTGAGATACTCTTTGTATAAATTTTTTACGTGATCCATTAATGGTACACGATTCAGGGCACCTGGTAAACTTCCATTGACCGAATTTCCAGTCAATTTCTGGGTTATGCATACGTAAGTATGTCATCCCAAGGATCATATCCTTATCGCCTAAGTTGGTGACAAGGCAACGATGCGTCGATCCGTGATCTCTGACCTTTAGATAGGCTCGAAGATAATATAAGATTTGACCGTCTTTGTTGATTGATCCGTCTGCGTTATAGACGTTGTATGGAGTTTCCAGCTTATAAAGATTTAATCTGTGTTCCCTAACGAACTTCTTGTTCACAAAGATTGAATATGCCCCTGAATCCACTAGGGCCTTGGTGCGTACTGCTTTTTCTGATACCCACAGTTCCACAGGTAAATTGAAGATGGATTTGGTAGAGGAGCTGTTTTGTACCAATACATCATTCTGAACGTGGTTAATATACATATTTGTAGATGACATATGTCCTCGCCTTGACCTCGCCAGTTTACAGAGATGGGTATCGGAAAAGTCCTTGGCACCATGGGATGTCACTGTTTCGTGCATTACAGTGCTTCCTGCCAAAAAGACGACAGCCGTGATGTGGCTGGTTTGTTTGCCTGGAGCATGTCAGGCTCCGAGGACATCGAGCGTAAGTGAGGATACTTGGCCTCGAAACGAGCTAGCATCTCGAGCTCCATTTCTTCCTCATCGTCAGTGGCTATCTCACGAATTCTTGCCACTGCGAGTCTCGACGATTCTGCCTCCTCCTCTTCATCATCCGTGACCTGCATTTCTATGTGCCTGACAACCGTCTTATATTTCTTTTGTGCAACAGGTCCGGACCCCTTCGTTCCCCTGCCTCCTTTCTTCTCCTTCCATTTGCCCTCCTTGATCATCGCTTTCTTGTATTCTTCACAGCGATGACTGTACTTCCTCTCCTTCTTGCAGTATTTGCATACGGACAATTTCTTGTCCGTAGCATTGACTTCCCCCTTAGTTGTCACCTTCCCTTTCCCTTTGCCCTTGTTCTTTACTTCGTCTACCTGCATGGCATCAGGGGTTTTCCTCGAGCTTGAGGTAGTGAACATGCACTTCATGCGCCGCTCAATATCCAAGTCCCAGTCGAGGTAAGCCTCCCATGTGGTAGGCCACTGCGCCTCATCTGTTTCCACATGTACTTGCAGGATCTTCTCAGGCATGATGCGGCAGATCTTCTTAATGAGATCCATGTTGGATAGCTTGGACTTGTTAGCCCACTTCTTGAACTTTTTGGCAAATTTGGACATGTCTGTCCAGGGAGTCTTTGTGAGGCGTTCAACCTCAAGCTGTGCCTCTCGCGGCTTGTCCTTGGTGTCATATGATACTGTGAGCTGGTTGACAAAGTCAGCCCACATCCCGAGTGGCTGTTGATTTTGGACCAAAGTGTAGTAGTTGTCCATGTAGTCATGGGCATCTCCTTCGAGGTATGACAGAGACAGCTTTATGTGGAGCTGCTCGTCAATGACATCGTCCAGGTATAGATAAACCTGTTTGAGCCACTCCTTGATCTTTGGAGTGCCATGACCTGAGAATTTCTCAGGTGTGGCAACTTTCTGCTTTGGTCGGGTAGCAGCTGGAGGGATCAGAGGGGCTGCTGCTGCTTGTCCTGCCTGCAGGCCTTGAATGGCCAGCCTTAGCAAGGCAATTTCAGCAGTGTTGGCGTTGAGCACTGCTCTCTGCCTAGCTTCTAGGTCGATTACATTTTGACCTAGCTGCTGTTGCGTAAAAAGTGACTGAGAGTGTGTCGCTAGCAGCCAATCCCTTGCTGCTCCCGTAATCTCCGTCGGGATATTTGCGACAAAATCATTGTACACTGCCAAATATGTGGCATTCAGTGCACTGGATTGATTCATCAGAGACATGATGTGTATTTGCAGGGTTAGAGGTGTAGGTGAAGGAAATCGCGGTTGTGCGATTGAGGATGTGATAACTTGTGAAGAGGTTGAAGGTTCCTCTTCGGGTGGTGTTTGAAATGTTTGTCCAAGGCCCAAAGATTCTGATGCTGATAAGGAAGATCATGATAATGAAGATGAATATGTGGTATCACTGGTTAAGCTGTAGCTCATTCACGGTTTCAACCTCTCGAGTCCTCAGATGTATGATCCCAGGAATTGTATGATTCGGGTTCCGATACTCTGGATCCATCGCTCGATGATTCTTCTGCTTCATCGTCAAGGAATTCCTGTGATATCAGCAGATATCCTTGCACTCCTTGCTTGCTTAACTCTTGAATCAGATGTTGCCAATTAAAATTGAGTTCTGGAGAGTTAGAGCGTTCTGTTTCTGGAGCTGCTAGTGTGGCCTGTGACCGTCTTGTCCGAGCACTAGATATCAAGAGATTGTAGGAGTATTGGTCTAGTCGACCCTCCTGCTGTAGTTGATCGATTTGTGCTTCAATTCTTCGAAGCGTGTCCTGCACTTCTTCGTACTCTCTCCGTCTTCATTCGTCCTCTTCTTCGTCCTCTTCGTCGAGTGTGTCTAGTGCTTCCTCTATGAGGTCCACCCACTCGAACCAGTTATCGTAATAACGTTCGTTTGAGGTGATGAGACTAGTTTCGCAAATGACAGTGTTGTGCCACTGATGGAAGGGGATGAGGATGAATTCGACAGTGTAGTCGTCAAAGAAGCTGTGTCCGACTCGTCGGAAGTATCGATCGAAAGCTAAGCTAGCTCTCTCTTGTTCTATTGCTGGGATATTGTCTATGATTTCTTGTGCAGTCCTAAGTGGTGCGTCTTCAAACCCAAAAGCAAAGTTATCCATGTACTAGCTTTACAGTTTCTGCAATCGCACTTGGTGTAACTCGTGCTACTCCCAACTCGTACTTCTCGTATATCTCCTTTACCAGCTATTTGACCTATCCCTTCTGCTTCTTCCTGTATCCCACAAAGTCGCAGAACTCCTTGACTATGTGCTGATGCACTGTAGACAATGCGTAAGCAGCTACTGTCTGCTTTACGCCCTCGAGTCCTTTGACGATATCAGAAAGGTGGTGGAGATCTTCGCCTTCGAGCTTGCATGTGTAATGCTTGGTGGAGAGTGCCGATGATGCAGGATGTGCTGATTACAGTAAGGGCTATAGGCAGAATGTATTTGAATCTGCTGTACTCGTTTCTGAAGGTGACGTTGGTGACTGGTCCCTTGTCGAGTACGCTGGAAGTTGTGGAAGATTGAAAGCGTTCTCGATATGAACGCGGTGGTCGCCCTCCTGTGCCTATATGTCCTGGCCTGGGGTATCGAGCACGAAGTACCTCCTGGTTCTTCTGCTCCTTCTCCTCGAAGTTTTCGGGTATGAACTCAGTACTGGGTAGCAAAGCTAGGTGGTAGAATTCGTCCGGAGTCTTGCTTTGGGGTCAGCAGATAGTACCAACTTCTCAGGTGCGCAGCTGAGTGTGGCTTACACGGGTAGAGTCGGTGACTGACAGAATGTCAGGTGAAGATATAACACTGCTATTGTGCAGGTGGATGCTGATAGATCAGACGTGCTGTGTGCGGGGCACTACAGGCGTAATTAGCAGACTTATCTAAATGTCACGAAGACCCAATATCAGGTGAAGTCCAAAGTGTCTTACTTGCTTATGTTAGATAAGGTGAAGTAATGGAGGTCGCAGACTATAATAGGCAAACTGGACTTGTAGGGGAAGTCACAGCTGCAGTCAAGTGTATCGAGTATTGACGAAGGTAGATAAGTCTGGGGGTGTAAACCCAGACGACCCCAGTATATATACAAGCAGGGTCAGAC